CCGCAGGTGCGATTGCATCAGTAGGCAGCAACAAGTTTCAATTGTTCCAAGTCCAAATTTAATCTGTTAACAAAACGGAACATACGAACTTAGCCGAATCTTCAAATCACATCCAACAACACTAAAAATACGAATCACACATAGATTCAAGCCTAATGAACTTTGAAACTTTAAATTTCTACAAACGACGCCGGAAATTATCAAATCAAGTCCAATTGATCTCAAATTTTGCACGCAAGTCATAAATGACATAACAGAACTATGAAATTTTCAGAAATAGATTCCGACCCTGATATCAAAAAGTCAACTCCCCGGTCAAACTTCCAAACTTAAATTTCTATTTTAGCCATTTCAAGCCTAATTTAACTACGGACTTCCAAATAAAATTTCGAACACACTCCTAAGTCCAAAATCATCATACGGAGCTGTTGGAATCATCAAAATTCTATTCTGGGATCGTTTACACATAGGTCGACATCCATCCAACCTTTTCAATTTATGTTTTAAACTTTGGAACTAAGTGTTCCAATTCATTCTAAAAATCTCATCGGACCCGAACCAATAGTCCCGACAAGTCATATAACAGTTATAAAGTACAGAATGAGTATTAAATAGGGGAACGGGGCTACAGCTTTTAAAATGACTAGCCGGGTCGTTAGAATAACATGCCTATAGGAATAAGCATGAAAAATCTGCGTTCAAATACCAAGTATTAGAAGAACCTGGCTATAAATACTGCTACTCACTTAGAAAGCATGCTAATAGGATCAAACAAGAGTAATTCTGAGTTTCCCAATGGCTTCCATTGCCCCATTGCGCAAATCACTTAGAGATCATATCTATAGGTTTTCATAACTTGTAATCTGTAATCTCGATAATCCGAATAGAAGCACTGCCCGTGAGATCTTCTTAAACTATGCGGTCACTTAGAGGCCATGTCTATAGGTTTTAAGCAACACCTCAATCCTGAAACTGCCTACAACATAATATGAAATCTGCCCACGTGCATTTGTTGTTATGTGTGGAGGCTAACTTGGGCCTTTAATGGTCTTTACGTGAAATCTTATCTATTTTTTTGAATGTCACTTAGTTTTATCAGTTTTGAGCAACCTAAGTAAAGTCTAGAACCATCCAAATAGTAGGTCCAAAGCCTCCTAGACCATAGGCATGGGACGGGTAACGCACGCATAGGGTACGACTTAGAATTGAATTAGAATGCTTTAGGTAAGCAACTTCAACATAGTAATCGGGTAGCAGGAGATGATAATTTGTGCTCGCTGAATAATATGAGCAACTCCTATCTAAAAGGAGTTATGAAATATTATTTATGTTGCACCGGGTGATCCTTTAGGCTAAAAACTTAGGACCCCCCTCCCCCCCTTTATATATTTGTTATTCATGCTTAGTCGTTTAATATAGACCAATATAGTTGTAGCCTTATAATCATACTAAGATTTGTACTAATTCTCGTTGTGATAATAAAATTCTTCGACCTTTATATTATCTTTTGCTTATTTGATCATCTAGCCTAATTATATAATCCACATAGTCTTAAGTTCGGCCAGGACCCACAGTTGTGGACCTCGAAGAGTATCTAACACCTTCTTTTTGAGGTAATTTGAGCCCTTACCCGATCCTTGGTGGCGTTAACTAATCAAACAGAGTTATTTGCATAATAGGTGCCTTAACGCACCTTAAAATCGTTAGGTGATGACTCTTCTCTTTTAACACCCTGCCTATCATTTAAAAGGGTTGTCACATATCAAAACCCGATTTCGCAAGAAAATGGGGCGCGACACTTATATCACCGTGGGAGCCTTTATATTTGATTTCTGAAAATCTTTTTTCCGAAATAGCATCCCGCGTTTTAGCCCGCCTTATCACTTCGCATGGCTTCTAGTATTTCCCCTACTAGCCACGCGTATCAAGCCCTCCTTATCTCACCGCATGTGTTTCAATACCCAGACCTTATACCCTGCATGCGTATCAATAATCACAATAACTCGGCAGAAACCTCGTGCAACAATAAAAACCGCACGACAGAAACCTCGTGCAAACAATAAAAATCGCACGGCAGAAACCTCGTGCAAACAACCAAACAATCACCTCTACGATAACATGGAAGCCAAAACACATCAACTGAATGATATTCCAAGGATAGCAGTTTCAAGTAAAGAATTTCCACAGTTATGTAATGAATACGGAAATCAAGAAAAATAAGTAATTCAACTAAACATTATACAAGTTGCAAATAGGAGATAAAACAAGCAGGCTAAACATGATGACTATAACGTGCTAAAGTAACTCAATTAAGACATGAAAAGGAACTACCTAGAAAAAATCGGAATTTCAGCATTTAGCTCGTGTACGCTCTCGTCACCAAATGTGCACGGCCTTCACATATCACAATTTATCACCAAAATACCAAATCCTAAGAGAAATTTCCCCCACACAAAGTTAGACAAGTCACTTACCTCAAACCACGCTCAATCAATCAATTAGAAGGCCTTTTCCTCGATTTTCCAACTCCGAACGGCTCGAATCTAGCCAAAACAATTTCATACTGTAAATATAACTATAGGAAACTAATTTAAATAATAAAATAATGATTTTAGCTAAGAATTGAAAATTCGCTCCAATAGGTCGACTCGGGCCCATATCTCAGAACCCAACAAATGTCACAAATTCGGAAGCCTATTCAACCACGAGTCCAACCATACATAATTTACCAAAATTTGGCACCTAATCGTCACTCAAATCTCCCATTTAAACTCACCAAAATCTAGCCTCATACTCCAAAATTACATCTCAAAACCACACAATCAAGGTAGGAAATCAAATGAGGAAACATAATTATTGAGTAACAATAACCACAAGTGACTAACCTCAAGAATTCCTTTGAAATCCCTCACAAAAATCGCCTAATCCCGAGCTTTAAATGTTCAAAATGAAAAAAATCACGGAACCCTAGATTATAACCTCTCTTCCCAGCACTTTCCGTATATGCGGCCCAAGAAGCACTTCAAAGACATCGCACTTGCAGAAATATCATCGTGGGTGTGGAAAACACTTAAGTCCAGGGGTTCCACTTCTACGGTCAATGGCTCGCACCTGCGAGCCCGCTCCTGCGGATACAATGTTGCACCTGCGACCACTGGCGCTTCTGCGCACCTGCCATCGCAAAAGCGAAGGAGCTTCTGCGGATAGTTTTCCCGCTTCTGCGACCACTACTGGGCAAGGCCAGCTTCACATCTGCGACTTAAAGCTCCCTTACACGAGTCCGCACCTGCAGCCATTCCCACCGCAGGTGCGATGACACTAGAAGTTGGGAGCTTCAGCAATTGCACAAGTCCAAAATATGATTCGATCACGATCCGAATCACACCCGAGGCCTCAGGGACCTCAACCAAAAATACCAACAAGTCCTAGAACATCATTCGAACTTATTCGAGGCTTCAAATAAGATCAAACAATATTAAAACCATGAATTGTTCATCGATTCAAGCCTAATGAACTTTTGAACTTCTAACTTCCACATCTGATACCGAAACCTATCAAATCAAGTACGATTGACCTTAAATTTTGCACACAAGTCCTAAATGACATTAGAGACCTATTCTAATTTTTGGAATCAAAATTTGACCCCGATATCAAAAAGTCCACCCCCAGTCAAACTTTCCAAAATTTCACCAATTTTTAACTTTTGTCAATTAACGCTGAAATGACCTACGGACCTCCAAATCAATATCGATCAGCACACTATCTTATGACCAACATCACCATAGGAACTATTGGAACCGTCAAAATTTTATTTCAGAGTCGTCTTCATACAAGTCCACCTATAGTCAACTCCCAAGACTTAAACTCTCAAACTAAGGACTATGTGTCCTATTTCACTCCATCACTCACCCCGAAACCAAAACTAAATACCCCGGCAATTCGCGTAACCACCATATAAATCAATTAAAGTAGACCGAAGAGAGTAAAGTTTAAAGTGACTCATAAAATTGGTCAAACTAAATTAATAACGCTACTAAATAATATTCTAATAATTTGTTATTCATTAATTATGACCCAATCAACGATATAATAGCAAGTGACTGATTCTAACAATCTCACATTATGTAGATAAATCATATCTATATTTGAGTAATTAATGAGTTAATTCCTAATCACTACTAATTAAACTTTTTAATTTTTTTTCTCATCTATATAAACACATCAAAAAAATCAGTAATATACCAAGCATAAATCATTTTCTTCCTTTTCCTCTATTATTTATTCCTTCACATTATTTTATAAAAAATGTTGATGAATAACTCATTCGTCTCCATTTGGATAGCTATAATTTTGACACTATTCCTAGATAAATTTCAAAAGCCAATTAGAGCTTCTTCAAACCTTAGCTTAATTTTGACACTATTTCATTTTAGCAAATCAAGAAAATGATAATTTTTTTATTGTTTTTCCCTTATCGTTAATTACTTATTTTCAAAATTATTTTTCAAGACTTTTTGAAACGCTATCATTATTAGGGGTTATAAGGTAAAATACATACTACAATTATTATTTCTTAAGGGGCACAAAAAAATCAAAGTGGACAAGTAAAAGTAAACGAATGAAGTATAAAAATAAATTTTATGCGAGTTGAGAAACACACATCTTTAAACTAACGTTTAAAGTGACTCATAAAATTGGTCAAACTAAATTAATAACGGTACTAAATGTTATTCTAGCAATTTGTTATTCATTAAGTATGACTCTGTAATAGCAAGTGCCTGATTCTAACAATCTCACATTATAGAGATAAATCATATCTGTATTTGATATTATTACTGAGTTAGATTCCTCATCAGTCATCACTACTAATTAAACTTTTTAAATTGTTTTTTTTTCTCACCTATATAAACACATCAAGAAATCAGTAGTATACGAAGCATAAACCATTTTCTTCCTTTTACTCTATTTTTTATTCCTTCAAATTATTTTTAAAAATGTTGATGAATAACTCATTCATCTCTATTTTGATAGCTATAATTTTGACACTATTTTTAGATAAATTTCACAAACCAATTAAAGCTTTTTCAAACCCTAGTTATGTTTATACAGATGGAACTCATTTTGCACTAGAAGGAAAGCCATTTTATTTAAATGGTTTTAATGCTTATTGGCTAATGTATATGGCTTCTGATCCATCAACAAGGAATAAGGTTACAACAACATTTCAACAAGCTTCTAAATATGGTATGAATGTTGCTAGAACTTGGGCTTTTACTGATGGCGGTTCTAGACCCTTACAGTCTTCGCCTGGTGTTTACAATGAGCAAATGTTTGAGGTAAGTATTTGATTTTGGGAAAATAATAATGTATAGCCGCTCTTAATATATATAAATAGTTTCGGCCTCGTGCTAAAAGTGATTTTTGCCATTTGATTTTCTCTTTGTTCTTTTGCCTTCTTTTCAATTCCGCTAAATATTTGATTTTGGGGAATGATACTGTGTAGTCGGTCATACCAGAATTTCAATTATTTAGAGCTAGAAGCTTCGCCGTAAGCAAGCAAGATGAGGTCGCTCTCCTTCGTAGACAAGGCTCGTTCATAATAGCCGATATGTGTGTGTGTGTTATACAAAAAATATAAACAGATTATACACTTTTACGACTATCGAATATAAATAGTTTAGGCCGCGTGCTAAAAGTGATCTTTGCCCTTTGATTTTCTCTTCGTTTTTGTTGCTTTCTTTTCACGTGCGCTAAGTTTAAAACCAAATCCAATGAAAAAGAGTTGAAAGAAATTATTTGAGCTTTTTATTTTATACTATTCTTTAACCAAGAGAAATTGATGAATCACGGTGTATAAAAATTGAATTTGAAAAAGAGTCAGAAGAAATGATCTGTATGAAGGTTTTTTCTGCTCAAATTTGAATTTAATATGCAGCCAAGCCTTCTCTTGGGATTTTTTTGTTATAGAATTGGTTTTTTAAGATTTAAAACTTTTATTTTTGTTTAATCCTTTTCCAAATTCAACTTATACTTACTCTTTGAAAAATGAGTGAATTAACGGAGAAAGGAACTACTATGTATTTATATCATTAGATAATGCTTTCCTGATTTTGATTTTTGTTATATGCTTGTAATCGCATGTTTTAATTTTATTCTGAAAATTCATATCTAATAGAATCTCATTTATTCAGCAGAAATAGAAACTCTCTCCTAAATCTGATTCTACTTCTACCATTTTGTTCATTATGATTTATGATAATCAAAATTAAAGGAGTCAAAGCAATTTATTAATTTTATTCTCAAGCCATTTATTTCCTTAATTATGAGCTTCATTAAAACTAAAATTATTACGCGCTTCTATTGAAAATTAAATACACAATAAACCATCGACCTCAAGTTAATTTGTGGATCTAATCCTACGCGAAAAGTAAGAAAGTCTTGCATACTTTAACCACTTTAAGATAAAAAGTGGAGTTACTCCCTCAACAAAACTCGAATAAGTTGAGCCAAAAATGTCAATTCAAGATAAAATCATGATTAAGTAGTATTTTTTTAGGATCTACTCTAAAGTTTAGAAATTAGTTAACTGGTAAAGATACATATACTTGATGTTGTGTTATATTGCCTTTACTCGATATTTGTGTTATATTTCCTTTTTTGATTTTTTGATTTTTATTTTTTGCTTATCAGGGATTGGATTTTGTAATATCAGAAGCCCAAAAATATGGAATTCGCTTGATTCTTGGGTTAGTTAACAACTGGGATATTTTAGGAGGAAAAAAACAATACGTAGAATGGGCACAGGAAAGAGGACAGCAATTAACAAGTGAAGATGACTTCTTCACTAACCCTATGGTTAAAGGATTCTACAAAAATCATGTCAAGGTATATAAAAAAAAAATTCTTTTTTTTTTTCACATTTTAACTTAATCAAATGCTTTATTTATTTATTTTGTATGATATTATTACATTTTTATTCATATATCTATTTGGTATGGTAAATAGAATGGATGCATATAAAATTAGCATAACCCCTGCGAAAAAATGACGTGTATAAATCAAGAAATAGTCCAATTTTTTAATTATGATTTTCCAATATATTTATCTATTATGGAATAAAATAGTAGTAATTAATATGGTTCTTATTGCTATTTACTGTGATTTATTTTTATATTTTTTTCTTAAGTTTATATCGATATATTTTTACTTATATTATTTTTGCAGGTTGTGCTTACAAGAGTGAACACAATAACAAAAGTGGCATATAAAGATGATCCAACAATTCTTGCATGGGAACTAATGAATGAGGCTCGTTGCCCATCTGACCTCTCTGGAAAAACTATTCAGGTCTTTTCTCCTTCTTAACATGGCAAAAAATTTGAACTAAAATATAAATAGATATTAATATTGATCAGAAGTGGAATCAAGATTTGAAGTGTATGAGTTCGAGATTCCGTTTAAGTTATTGGGTCCTAAATTAAAATTTCGGCCCGTGATGGTTAATTAAGTTGGTTGGGTGATTGGTTTTCCATATAAAGGACATGGGATCGATTCCCCTCACCAGTAGACTCCTCAGTCAGAGTTCATCGCATCGAGCTTGCCTAATGCGATTTACATCTCATGTATGGTTTGCGAGCTATTGCACAGTGACCAGGTTACCCAGTGCGCACCCGAAGGATAACGACTGGAGAATTCTCTGAGAATTTTCCAAAAATTAAAATCCTGAATGCACCTTTGATCACAGGCAATTGTACATCATAACTTATTTGAGATGCTTTTTTTCCTTCCAAAACGAAATAATCACCTCTTGCTTATTGCTCTCGATCTACATCTTACCTAACTCGATGTTATTTTTCTTCTTAGACACACAAGGTTTTTACTCTCGTTTTGTAGGGTTTCCACTTCGTATCGTCTATTAATTTTACTATTTTCTTTGAAGTATTAAATAACATTCTTTTTTTCTTGGAATTATATTTTTGCAGAACTGGATCACAGAAATGGCAGCATATCTTAAATCAATAGATAAAAATCATCTCTTAGAAATTGGTCTTGAAGGATTTTATGGGGATAACAAGAAGCAGTACAACCCTAATTATCTGGAACTTGGGACTAATTTCATCTCCAACAATCAAATTTGGGGAATTGATTTTACCACAATTCATATCTACCCTGATCAATGGTAATCTCTAATCCCCTATTTTTCATATATATATATATACATTATAAATTAAAAAATATGACCAGTGTAGATTCATATAATCGACCCTCAACTTATTTGAGGTTGAGATGTAATTATTATTGTCATTGTTTTAAAAAATTATTTTTGCTTTTGTCAATCAACCTTATTAACAATTTGGCTAAGGTTATTTATATATGGATTTAACGAATATTTACGCGATCAGTATGATTTAACCTATTGTAGCAAGGACATGATTTATGTTTCTAGGTTATTATTACTAATCCTCTATTTATGGATTGTATCATTTAGTTATCTTTTATCGTATAAACTCAATTTATAAAAGTTAAACTCTTTAAATTTATGTATCTTATTTAAACGGAAAAGACTCCGAGTTGTACTCCATTTTTCTCAACCATTTTTACTTTATCTTTTCTTTTCTTTTTTTGTTAGTTTTTGAAACTCAATCATATCAATTTAAAAGTCAAATCATGAATGAACAATATGATTAATTTTAAGTCAACATCCATTGATTTTGACTTTCGAGACTACATAAAAGAACAGTTGTTGAGCAATTTATCTTTTCAAAGGTATAACTACACAATATAACCGATCTAAAAAATAATAGTCGATAAATATATATATTTTTATATATTAATATATAATGTACATATTTTATACATAACCAATGTATTTTGTATATTTAGCTAGCGCATTTAATTATTAACTTACCTTAGTTTGTACCCTTAACCGTGCTCTGTTGATTTTGGACCAGTGCGGCTACTAACAATCCCAGGCTTAAACTTAAAATAGCCAGTGGATATATAATTTGTGTATAATTTATATATAATATGTGTATAATCATTGTATAATTTATATATACTGACTAGAAAAAATAAATAATGAATTCGACCGGCTATTTGTGTAAAAATCGTCTAACCTTTTGGGCTGCAGGCTACAACCAGGTACAAGCCCAGAGGACCAAGATAAATGGGCTTCACAATGGATCCAAGCCCATATAGATGACTCCAAATTATTGAAAAAACCTTTACTTATTGCAGAATTTGGCAAATCTTCAAGTACCCCAGGGTATAATGTTACAATGAGAGACAATTATTTTGGAAAAATATATGGAACTATTTTTAATTGTGCCAAATATGGAGGCCCATGTGGTGGTGGGCTTTTTTGGCAACTTTTGGCCCAAGAAATGGATAGTTTTGGTGATAGTTATGCAGTGGTCTTGCAAGTCAGCCCATCAACTGATAGAGTTATGGCTTTACAATCTCTAAGGCTCTCTAAACTATTAGATTATACAAATAGATTAAAATTGTAATGTTTTAATTCATTCAAGTATCAAAGTTATTGTAATTTTTCTAGCTTTGACCATCTTGATCAAAGATAGCTTTATAATCTCTATATCATTTTAGACATTAAAAAGGATTATCTTGTGCTAATATGTGACTTTTAGATGTGTGAATGACATGTTATTTTAGACATATATTCTTTCTATTTCATTTTGTATGATAATGTTTTACCGAGTATAATATTTAAGAAAGAAAAACTTATGGTAAAAGTAGCTTTAGAATTTTAGTCTTGAACAAGTTATAAGCATAATTTATTAAGGGTAAAATTAAAAATTTAAAGTTAAAAGAGTTTACAGAATGATGTCAATCTTTATGAAACATATTAAAAAGAAAAATACTATATGAAAAAAACAAAAGAAGTATTTTCTTTTTGTTACAGAAGAAGTATTAAAGTACGTGACTTTAACATACAATGTTTAGTTGAAACAATGGCAATACACATGTAACATATACCATCATCCATCTTTAAGTAGAGGTCTTGAGTTTGGACGCTGAGAATGAAGAACTTCTTAGTATATAGGGAAAGTTTTAACCTCATAATAAGCCTACTCGATACGAATCTGAATTAACCGAATGATTAATGAAGAAAAGGATTTAAAAAAACTAAGACACACACGTAATACACGCTTGTCACGAGAAATCGGCATAACCCATGATAGAAAACTAGAAATAACGAAATATATCTTAAATGTTTATCAGCTTGGTTGATTAAAGAAGTTGACAAACTTTTTCATCAAGATTTCTGCATTTTCACAATTCGGTTTGTGCAAATGGAAACCATGATCTTAAACCGTTGCTGCCTAATGGATTTCCATTGGCACTCGCTTGAACTATCATGTTCAGTGGCGGATGTAGCGTAGTATCACCGGGTTCAACTGAATTCATAATTTTTTACGCGGAGTAAAAATTTATGTGTAAAAATTCATTAAAATTACAAAAATAGTAGATATGACCCATAACTTTAAAAATATAATAGGTTAAATGCTAAAAACTTTAAAAGTTGAACCTATAAGATTTAAATCCTGAATCCGTCTTTAATTATGTCATGGGAAATATTGGCACAAGTGTTTTGGGGTCCTATATATGTGAGCAAAAGGCTAGTATATTCAGAGTTAGATATACATCTCAGTATCCGCTATATCAAATTAAAACTACCTACAACGTCTAAAATTCCTCACGTATATACACTACTAAAAAACGGTCAAATATCGTCCATAAAAACCGACCAAAATCGGTCGGAATCGAATAAAAACCGACCGATTACCAACTGATTTCAACTAATCGAAAAAAGAATGGTCGCAATAGGGGAGCGACCGCCTTCGGTCGATATTACCCACTGAAATCGGTCGATATTTGTCAATGCACTTTGACCAAATTATCTGACACAAAATAACCATACCGACCGACTTCAGTCGATATTTTTAAAAATAATTTTAAATTATTTTTAAATTAGCGACCAAAGTCGGTCAGAACTTTAATTATTAATTTTTTTAAAAATTGTTCAATTCCGACCGATTTCGGTCGGAATGATTAAAATATTTAAAACGTAAAATTAAAAATTCTGACCACAGTCGGTCGGAATTGTTAAAATATTTAATATTTAAATTCAAAAATTCCGACCGACGTTGGTCAATAACTTTGAATTTCTGGGAAATTCAAATGAAATGTTCCGACCGACTTCGGTTGGTAGGCGGTCGGTTGTCTGGTATTGTTTTGGCAGAATACAGTTGTTTCATAACTGCACCACCTTGCCAACAACCAATTGCTGCCATTCAACCAATATCAACAACAATAACAACAACAATAACAACTATCAAAACTATATTATTAACAAAACATCATCTCCATCTCTACTAAACTATATTAACAAAACATCATACCCAACAATAAAATGTTTCACAAGTTAAAAGTTCAAACATCATTCAATGAGTGTTTTGTATTGCATCACCTCCATTTTCACTACTAGAAGCTTCATCGTCGGCATGGTTCGAAGGATCACGATGAGAAGGACTAGCATCTGGGGAAGGCTCATGAGACCGGGGAATAGGGAAAGCACCACTAGCAAGAAGATTGGCCAGCTAACCTTGAAGGAGATTAAATTGTTGGTCCCTCTTTTTTAGCTGAACTTGAAGGGTATCAAATTGTTTATCTCTCTTTTGTTCTCTAACCTTTGTCTCTTCAAGATTTGCTGTCAGCTTTGCGATCTTCTTCTCCATAGACAAGATAGTCGACTTATCAATTGCCTCGCCTTGGGCGGAAGTCCTTATTCCTTGCAATCCAGCCATGTAGCGCCGAAATGATCTCTCTGAAAGACCGTATGCTATCCCCTTTTTAGGACCACCGACAACATCCAACCATATCTTTTGCGCTTCTTCGTCTGAAACGGGTGGTCATTCGCCTTGCTCATTCGGTGGCAAGCTCTGAGTGTACTCCTCCACATTAATCTTGTAGAGACCCTTTATTTAGAAAATAGAAAATTATTAACTATATAATATTATAAATATTAATTTCAAGTTATAGTAGTTATGAAACTTACATATGTAGTCTCCGTCCGGTCCTCGACCCATATAGTTGGATCTGTCGGTGCCTTCTTCTTCCGGATGTGAGTCTCCATGAAGAACTCATCATGAGTCATCTTCCTCCCATAATTTTTTTTTCCTACAAATATAATAAAACATGTTAACTAAATTAAAATATATAAATATAGTTTAATATATATAGAATTAAATAATTTAATGAATTACCAGTAGTCTCCTCGCAGTCCCCATGCTCCTTGCACCCACACATTGTAAGGAGCTACCCTTCTCAGATGCTCGAGCCTTTTTCCATGTTCACTCTTCTTCTTGAACTTCTCAGTGGTCCACTGCCTCAGTAGATCCTCCCATGTGTGCGGTAGAACCCATGAATACTTCTCGCTCTTCTTCCGAGCACAATAGAAGGAGCTTAGTCTATTGTTATGCCAGTCCTCCCAGGCACACTTGGTCTGTAAATGAAGTGTGTAACGTTAGATGAAAATATTGATAATAATAATGATTAAATAGATAAGAATTGTATTAAAACCTTAAATTGGTTGAAAATGTGCTCAACGAGCTCCGGTGGAAAGTCACTCCAGGTCGCATAGGGTGCATCATACAACCAGCAAGAGCTTCAGTGATTATCTTTGTAGTCTGATGATTAGGTATGAACCTGTAACATAGCAATTACATTAAATAAAAAAAACTAGCTATTATAATTTAGCAAAAACAAAGAAGTAATAAATAAATCTTCCTCATTGCCCTCAGGCCTTATGATCATCCTATGATAATAATCATACTATACTTCCTCTGGATCATCTTCCTCTGATGAACCTGAAGCGTGCGTAGAAGGGGAGGCATCTAGCTCGGCGCTACTATCCCGAAGGCTAAGTCTAGAAATGCTAGGACACGAACTCCGTGGAGAGAGAGACGGGGTTCGCTAATGAAGATGATTGCGATCCACACCCCTACTGCGATCTAGACCCCTGCTGCGATCCAGACCCCTTTTGTGATCCGGCTGGCTGAAATCTAGATGGATGTGATCGAGCTGGTGGTGAAGCAAATGGAGCATATGACGGGCGTATCACCACATGGCCATGTGACTGGTGACTCGATGGACCAATGTAACTATATGCAGGATCATGTGGAGGAAACAGGGTATAGCCCTATGGGTAAGAATAATACTGGGAGGGCGAATAATAGGTGTTGGGTCAAACCACTTGCATCGGAAAAGTATGATCTTCTTATTTGGCCAACCTGAATATGATAATTCTAGAATCTCTTTGATCACACCATAATAATCATTTTCTCCATCCTGGTTACCTTCACCACCTTTGACACACACCCTACTATTATTGATTTTTTTTATACTCGGAGTATTCCTCAGTGTGAAATTTGTAACCATTCACAAAATACTTAGACATAGTTGTAACCGTAGGTGTAGGTCCCCAAGATATATCTTTCAAAAATTGATTAACACTGTTGTTTGGATTATTGGCCTATATGTAGTGTTAAATAAATCACAAGTGAGCAAGTATATTCACAAGTGACCAAGTATGTATATTCACATGTGAGAAAGTATGTACGATGCACTTACACACTCTTTAAATCATGCCTCAAATTTAGAATATACAACATCATGGCCAAATTGACTCACAAGTCACTGAGCGACACATTGAAAATTTTGTTAGTTGCATCAACCAAATTAAATAGTAGTCCATATAAATTAATCTTACATCAACACTTACTTAAGAAAGGGTTGAACTTCTGGACAATTTAGCAACACATAATTTGAAGTTGATTTGCTAAGGCCCCTTTTTGTTCGATCTTTAGGACCTCGGCCTGGTTGATTGAATATGGACATTGGTGGATATAATAGATCAATCTCAATCACGACATTGTGCTGATTGGACCTATTTCTAACACATGGCACATGACTTTCGAAGTAGTAAGAAAAAAAATGGGCAGTTTCCTTTGCAAGATAGGCTTCGCATATGGATCCTTCAATCCTATTCCTCTATTTAACAAATCGTTTACACTTGCCGATAGTCCTGCACATTGTCATATTAGACGATAATGTTAAAGAAAATTACAAGAATAAATCAAGGTTTGATCATTACCTCTCTAATGGATACATCCACCTGCATTGAACCGACCCTCTAAGTCGTGCCTCGTGTACTCATCGATGTGTACAACCTCTTTAATCTAGGAATAAGAGGTAAATAATGCATCAACTTCACATCAACCTTCTTCCCGCTAGAAACCCGCTTAAAACCAGGTTTTTCACAAAATTTACAACTTTACAAATCTGCATAACCCTTATAATACAACATACAACCATCTTCACAACAATCGATTCTCATAGACGAGAGTCCTAACTTAGAAACCAATCTTTTAGCCTTAAAGAAATCTTCAGGTATGTTGAAAGTTGGGTCAACTAGTTCACTCATAAGGCC